ACAACCCCATCCCTAAAATATCCTTATTCTTTAAAGTTCAGGCTCAGATGGCTTAACTGATGAATTCTATCAAACATTTAGAGAAAAACAGTAACAATCCTCTAAAACAATTCCAGAAAATAGAAGAAGAGGGACTACTTTCCAATTCATTCTATGAGGCCAGTACTAATCACTTTGGTATTAAATACACACAAAAGAATTACAAGAAAATTCATATCCCTCATGAATACAAATTCCAAACTCTACAACAAACTATTTTAAGTCAAATCTAGCAACATGTGTCTTGGTTTTGTTGTTGTTTTCAGGATGGAATAGAACCCAGGGCTTCACACATGGGAGGTAAACGCTACCATTTAGCCATGTTCTCAGCCCAAATCTAGCAACATGTAAAAAGGATATATACCATGACCAAGTGGGATTTTTCCCTAGGAATGCAAGGGTTGGTTTATCCTCTAACGATTAGTCAACATAACCCATGGTGTTAATAGTTCAAAGAAGAAAAGCACATGATCATCTCAATAGACATGGAAAAGCATTGGGCAAATTCCACACTCATTCATGATCTAAAAAGAGTGAGGAAAAACAAACAAAACAAAGACAAGGAATAAGAAGAAAACTTCCTAAGCCAGGCTAAGAAAGACAAAGGCTGTGTGTTTTCTCTTATATATGGGAGATAGACAGAATACAAACACAAGCAAAATTATGGAAAACAGGTTTTGCTAAAGTGAGGTCACTAATGGGAGAGGGAGGGTAAAAGAAGGAAGTTAAGAAAGTGAATATGGTTGGTGTACTTTCTATACAAGAATGAATGTAGAATTTTTAAACCTGCTGAAATCACCATAAGAAGGGGACTAAGGTAAAAAGAAAACTAGAGGGGATGAACCAATTTGGGTTATAATACGTACATACATGGAAATGTCACAGTGAAACTCCCTGTATAGCTATCTTAAACAAACAAAAATGCCTTTTTTAAATGAAAAACAAACAAACAAACAAACAAAAAAAGTAGAACAGGAAGGTAAAATAGGTCCTGTCTTTAGATTGGCACCAGTGGGAGGGGTATAGGTAGGTGAATGTAGTAGAAATATTATGTACTCATGTATGAAAATGGAAAAATTAAGACATGTTGAAAACTATTCCAGTAATGGGGGGAAAAGAGGGATAGAAAGAATGATGGAGAGGGTGAATTCAACTATGATACATAGTAAGAACTTTTGTAAATGTCACAATATACCCCCAGTTCAACAATAGGGTAATAAAAAATTTGTTAAATAAAATAAAAAAGGGAACTTCTGTCTGATAAAGATATTTATAAGAACTCAACAAATAGTTAATAATAAATGTCTCAGTGTTTTTCCCATAAGAGGAACAAGAGAATGATATCTACTTTTACCCTTTTTATGCAACACTGTGTCCTGAAGATTCTAGCCAATACAAGGGGTGGAAGGAAGCATCCAGATAGGAAAGGAAGATACAAAACTGTTCACTGATGACATGAACCTATGTGTAGAAGACTAAGAAGTCTACATGAAAAACTCATACAACTAGTAAGAGTTTAACAAGGTCATAGGATAAAAGATCTATATACAGCAGGGTGGGTGCCAGTGGTTCATGCCTGTAATCCTAGGCAGCCTGAGCAAACAGTTTGCGAGACCCTAACTCGAAAAACCCTTCACAAAAAAAGGGTGGTGTAGGCCCTGAGTTCAAACTCCAGTACTGCAAAAAAAAAAATCTATATACAAAAATTAACTATCTTTGTATACATAAGCAATAAATAATCTGAAAAGGAAATTAGGAAAGTAATCTCATTCAAACATTTCTAATTTGTTGATGTTGTAAAAAGTGGACACCTATGAATATAAGAAGTACTTGCTATATTTCAGATTTCCATTTTAATTGATTCCTGAAACTCTATACTTCTTTCTCAGTGATAGGTACGCAAGGATGTAGGAGATGTATTTGAAATCATTAATTCAGAGAACAATAATTGTGCTACACAGTCACAAGTGACCAAAAATGCAAAGTAATTCTGGATTCTGTTTTTTTAACAGAGTTTTCTCTGAATATATTCAGGGACAATGAAAGCCACTCACCTGTACAGCGTGAGACAAATCTGACACAAGACACTGACGGAGCCTTTCATCATTACCAATTCCTTGAAGAACAAAGTCAGGCACATAAGATGAGCAGTAGCCACCCAGCAAGGACCTCCCAAAGTTAGCAATGTTGGGCTGAACAGCACTCACATCAATCAACTTTGACCTGGAACAGAGATACCCAAGGAAGGGAAATCTAATTGGTAATAAACATTTTTTACCAGTAAAAAAAAATTATGAACTCTAGTCCCTATTTCCTGTACCACTATTTTCCATAAAATATACTCACAGTAAAACCATCCTTTATTACACTGCCTCAGATGCTGAAACTGACTACAAATACTCTTCTTATATGGAGAAGGATTGGTGAATAACTTTGCTCATTAACAGTCTTTAGGAGAGCTGTCTTGTGTTTGAAAACCACCATCCAAAACAAAGTAGCTAGGTATTTTACAAGTTCAAATCTAGGTGTATAACATTTGTCAAGAATGGGTTTTCTCCTTGCATACTTGATCTAGAGTACACATTCTGTCCTCTTAGTCTTAGCCACATTTACTTCTAACAGCTATTTCCCACATTCTCAGGGATTCTCGCTCCATAACTGCCAGGAGTGCTATCAGTCCACCTTGGGGCATAATTCAGTCCAAAATGACTTGAAAACTCCTAAGTATTAAGCAATCTCTTATGCATCACCCAGATCCTTTAACTTTTCTCTAACTCCCTCACAAGGCCTTTCTGCATGTTTGTGGGGCTTAGACTAATTCTTTCTGTAAGTAAAAACACATGATAATAAAAAAGGGAATTTGGCTAGGGCACTGATGTCTTTTTTTGTATTAGCTGCCACCAACCTTCAGAGGTCAGTTAAACAAAAGAAAGGTATGTGTTTAGATAGTGCTTGTTATGAGTAAAAACTTTCTACTTACCCAGGAAAAGGTATCTCATCCTCTTCTGCCCAATCTTCTTGCTCCCCTCCATAATAACTGCTGACTTGTCTTGTCATATCATGACCTGTGTCTTCACTTTCACTATCCCCAAGGGCACTATCTGAACTTTCATTTCTTGGAATGTCCCATTCATTTCCTACAGCAATTTTTTTCTCTGAACTCTCTTTATCCCCATGGGGGACAAGGATGGAGAGTGTACCTCTTTGGTCCTGCTGAGGAAAGCAGGTTTTACATGAATCTTGCTGAACTGTTTCTACACATTTACAGAATTCATTATTCTGTTTGCTATTTTTTGTACACAATCCTTTTGAAAACTCTAACATACAGTAGTGTTCTTTACTGCCCATACTTGTTTTAACTGGAACATCATCAATAGTCCTGGTTTCAATTGAATCATCATTAAAATATTCATCAAATAAGCTCATGTTATCTGGGTCTGAATGACTCCAACAGGGAAGTTCGCAGGGCTCTCCAGAAACCATGTTCTGTATATCAGACTCTCCAGATTGGTCCTTAGTTGTTTGTTTAGTTTCTTGATGCTTGTCAGTCACCCCTCTGTCTTCTTGTAATGGTTTGGTGTGATGCCTCATAATCTGATCCACCACTGCCTGACTCCTGAGTTCAGTATCTGAATCAGGTGACATAGAATCCCCAATCAGGAAAGTAACCTTTGTCTGGGTTGCCTCACAAGAAAATGTAGCAGGCACAGTCTTATCTGGAGGTTTCTTTTCCACAGCTATTCCTGTGGATCTCATCGCTTTGCCAGTGTGATTATCTGAATCCAGCAATTCCTTACTCTGCCATGCTTCCTCTGTTGGCTCTAAGCCTGCATCTGACAATACACATTTGTCTACTGGTGCAGATCCTGTGCAAACCACTGTCTCTAACTTGGTGTCAAAGCAAGTTCTTAATTTTTCTCTATACTGTTTAACATCAACAGCATTTTCTTCTTGGCAGTCAGAAGGAGAAATCATCTGGCATTCATCTGAAATTCCTAGCAGTTCCTTAGAACTATCTTGAATGTCTTCTCTCTCTTGTTGTGACACATTCTCTGTATTCTGCCCAAGGAGTGGATGAGTGCAATATTTACAGTTGCAATTAGGAGTTCTTGTCTCTTCTGACTCTTTAAAGAGCAAACTGCTTTTGTTTCTATGCATTGTGATAAGCACATACTCAGATTCCTCTATTTCACCTTTCTCTAAAGTGGTAGTGATCACTGTCCCTGGCATAACAATGGCTTCATCTTCTCCATTTTCTAGAAGATGGGTTTCTTGAAGTTCAGAGCATCTTATGAAATAAGTAAGAAAATAAAGCAGCCTTTGGACCATGTCTTGTCGTTTGCCAACTACTACTGTTCTTGCTAAATGTACAGGAGAGCCAATAGCGCCATACAAGTCTCCTGAAATGGAAAAATTAGTTAATGGACACATCCTCTCCCCACACATCTAAGCAGTCTATTTTCAGTTATGAGATGCCTACTCTATAAGGAGCAGTTCAGGTTTTACTATTAGTTCTTTAAAAGATGACTATTCAGGAGAGTAGGATAAAAATGAGTAGTTTTAATAACAGAAAAAGATGAATGGAGGGGTTTTCTAGCTTCCTCCTTGAAGGTTTTTACGGTTCTGAAACCTCAGAGTCAGTTCTCAAAGTCACATTTACCAAGAATATTCTCTGTACCAGGTCCCATGCAGAGACTCTTTATGTGGGTGAGATGTATTGCCTGAAGTACTGTGTATACAAGGATTCCATAGCTATGTCCAATGCAGAAAAGACCACGATATCTACTGACAGGCAAGGAGAGGACAAAAGCAGTGGTGGCATGGGGCAGAGCTGGAGTCACACACATCTATATTTATGCTATAGCTCAAATTAAGCTTATAATTTGATTGCAAAACAAGAACTTAAAAATGGAGAGTACAAAGCCATTAATATAAATTTAATTCATTTTTTGCAAGCTATTAGCATATACATTTAAAGACCTCTATTTTTATGTTACAAAAAGCCATACTTTTTAAAGGAACAAATAGGTCTCAACTAAATACATGCTGTAGAGAATAGTGGGGTAACTTTTCTCCTCTGGCTAAGGTACTGGTCCAAATACCAGAATGTTGCTACTCCAAACTAATCCCCCCAAATTCTCACTAATTACTAAATAAATTGAAACCACTTTGACATGACAAAAAGAACTTTTCCGGTATTTTTGGTTTTTTTTTTTTTTGGAGGGGGCAGGGTATGAACTCAGGGTTTCATACTTGCAAAGCAGGCACTCTACCACGTGAGCCACACCTCCGGCCCCAGCTTTATTTTCTTATAGTTACTCTTTTTCATCTTTATTAGCTCAAAGCCCCACTTAAACTGGACTACTTAAACTGGAACACCCAGTATGCTTTGAACTTTTAATATTTACACTCCTTTTACTTATTCAATATGCTCTCTCTTCCCTATCTCTGCTAATCCAAAGCTTCTCAACAAAATATCCCACTTGTGAAAAAATCAAGTTCCCCTTACTGAACTCCCACTGAGCTTTTCATTTCTTCTAGTATTTCTTTTTTGAATTACCATTATTGTAAGACATATATTATCTGTAGTATTAGACTGCTAACTTCTTGGGTCCAAATTATCCATTTTTATGCAATCCAGTGCTCTTTGTATAGAGCCTCAGATATGTTATGCACTCAAAAATAATTGCAGAATTGAAAATAGATTTGAAATATCCCAATTAAAAATAGTACTGAGGGTTGGGCACCATAGCATGTTCCTGTAATCCCAGCTATGAGGGAAGGGGAAGTAGGAGGATCATGGTCCTAGGCTAGCCCCAGGTAAGAAAGCACAAAATCCTACCTGAAAAACAAACTAAAGCAAAAAGGCAGGGGGTGTGGCACAAGTGGTAAAGCACTTGCTTATGCAAGTGCAAGATCCTGAGTTCAAATTCAAGTACAGCTTAAAAAAAAAGGGAAAACCTATTGAATTACTTCCTTTAAAAAAGACCAAATTCCATATATCCATGTTCCATGCAAGGAATACTACTCACCATTAAAATTATGTTGAACAAAACCAGCCAATTTAATATAAATGAAGATATTTTGTTGAAAATAAGAAAATGAAAACTATATAGTGAGCAAAAGATCAGTTTGTTGCCTGAGACGGGGGAAGGGAGGAAAGGGAAAGTGAAGAGCTGCTGAAGAAAGAGATTACAAGACAGCGTTAAGGAAACTTTTGGAAGTGATGGAGATATTCACTATCTTGATTGTGATGATGAATATATACATACATGTGTATGTCAAACCATCAAAGTGTATACTTTAAATATGAATATATGTATGCCAATCATTAAGCAAAAAGGGGGAGGAAAGGAGGAATAGAATGGCTAAATGAGTCGATAAACTACAGGACAATCTGCCTGGCAAGATTAATCATCAGAACAACGTATAAGAAGTTTCTACCTGATTTCCAAGATTGTGTTCTTATCACAATCTTCTATTATTGAATAGAAAGAGAGTAATAGAGTAAGAGTAGAAGTGACAGCAGCTATGTATACTGGACACTGTCCTAATATAGTATCACTTTACATGTATTATTTAATTTTTGCAACTTTTTGAAGTATCCACTATTACTGTCCCCATTTTATGATTCAAGTGTAGTGTGCCTCACTCCACAGCCTGTGCTTTTAAGCACCCATGCCTCTCTAATGCCTGGCATTCTCTTCCCTGTTACCCATCTATTTAATGATGTCTAGTACTAAGGGAAACATTTTCCAAAATGACCTGTCAAACAAAAAGTGGAAAACAGAAACCTCAATGAGTTGCTTCTTTTTCCCTCTCTTTTTTTCCCAGTTTCCTCTATCTCTCTCTGATAGGGTATCACTAGATAGCCCAGGCAGGCCTTGAGCTCACTATATAGCCCAGTTTCACCTTGAATTCGCAATCTTCCTGCCTCAGCTCCCAAGTGCTATAATTCTGGGTATGCCTGGCTCTTTTTGTTCTTTAACTAAATTTATTTATTTTAGCTATCACTGATGTTTTTCTAGACAAAGTGTTTAATTCAAAGTATGAAAATGAAAAAATTTTGAAGACTCTAAAGTTATTAGTAAACCAGCTATCAGCTTGCAAGTTCTCTTGCTGTACGTTCTCTACTTGCTATCAGGCATAAGATGACAGGACAATTTAGCAGACACAAAAGGACAAGTACAGAAGAGATGCTTTAGAATGAATGGTAGAAAAGAGCGTATTTTATTGATTTTTCTTCTGCTATAAAATAATTCCAGACAATTTTAAGTCTTAAGTGTAATACATAGTGTAAGACCTTTCAAACTACGTACCTAGTTGTGCCCAAAGTGGGTTATACGGATGAGTTTTTGCCAACATGTCCACACTCTGAGAGGAATGTTTTTCTAAAAATATTTTTATAGGTGGCTGTCCATTTGGCATGACTGTTGGAACCCAGGCAAGATGATTGGTCAAGACTGCAGTAATGAGAGCTGGCAAGAATCTGCAAACAAAATGCATCCTATCAGATTATTACCTTCATGAAACCTTAGGTAAAATGTTTTGACAGAGTAAACAAAGAAAAAACATATTCTCATATGGCCAAATTGCATAAATAAGGAGAAGAGAGAGAAAAAGAGAGGTATACCACAAGAACAAAAAAAGAAGGTTAAATCTTTTCTTTGGAGAGGAATTAAATAAAATCTCTAAAATAGAACACTGATAAGACACTATTTCAGATCATAACTATAAAACAAAAATACCATTTTACTTGAAGAACTATGGATTCTTTTTGGTGTTTAATATGCTCAGTTCATTAATAAATGAACCAGCAGGTCCTTAATTTCCAAATTCTTAAGTTGGTAATTTCCAAACTGCTAAATGGGAAAAATGAAAAGTATTAAACAAACTATTCACCATCAAAGAGAATAAAAATATCTGAATTATACTGGATTCTAAAGACTTGATGAATAGTTAGAAGAAAACAATGAAATAAAATACCACATTAAAAATGTGAATGTGGCAAGAAATAAAATTACTTTTCTGAAGCTAGGGGCTGGTGGCTCATGCCTGTAATCCTAGCTACTTGGGAGGTGGAGATCAGGAGAATAGAGGTTTTAGGCAAGCCTACGCAAACAGTTTGTGAGACTCCATCTCTAAAATAATCAGAGTAAAATGTACTTGAAGTGCAATGTGGCTAAAGAGGTAGAAAACCTACTTTGCAAGCATGAATCCCTAAGTGCAAACCTTAGTCCCACCAAAAACAACCCAAAGTACAAAAAAACCCAACCAACCAAACAAAAAAACCCAGTGTCACTGAAATCCTAGCACTTCCCGACAGATTTTTAAAAATTCTTTTCTATGAAATAAAACTCTTGATACAATTAAAAAAAAGTGGGAAGCCTCACAGAATTCTGTAACATGTCAGAATTTTAATTTTTAAATGTTTTTATTCATACAGTTCTGTGGAACTCTTTCCATAACCTAACATTTAATTATTTTCAGAAGATTTTATTATTAATAAAAAATAATAACAGGGATAATGTATTATTATCCCCATTCTGTAAGTGGGTTTGCTAATAATCTAGATATTGAGCTACTACAATAAATGATAACAAGCATACATACAAAAATAACTGAATAAATAAAACAAGCCATACTGATTTTTGGAAGCATTTTCCATTAGAAAAGTGAACTCCTTCATGAAACGATGGCAAAGCTGATTCTTTTCTGGAGTCCCCGACATCATTGTAAGCCAGACAGGTTCTCCGATTCGTGGCATTGTGTAAAGATTACAAATAGTTGTTCTAAAAAGAAGACACATTATGAAATTTGTGGTTATTAAGTTTTTGAGAAAAATCACTGAATATAATCTTTTCTTCTTGTTATCAGGATAATAGCACGAGAAATGTTTTGTATATAACTTAAAATGTACTAGTTCTGGTGCTGGCTGTCCTCCTCAGTGATGGTATGCCCTACAGTAAATTATTTCCCTACTTTACACACCATTTCTTGTACCTGTAAGATGAAAAGGACAGGACTAGGTAACTTCTAGAGCCCCTTTCAGCTTTACATTTCTACAGCATACTGTATTTAGGTATTTTGTAAATAATCAACAAATACAAAAGAAAAATATTCTAACAGTGCCACAGCTTATCTGTCTACCCACCAAAAATAATCATTTATCTGATTCACTGTGTTGCTTTTTAGTAAAGGTTTAAAGTATGATGAGGATACTACACATACATGCTATATTTGATGGCTCTCAACTTTCTGCAATTTTTTCTTGAATTAATACAAGGGAAGATTGCTACATAATTATTATAGTGCTTTCCTAGCTGTCATTTTGGATTAATTTAGACAACTAGTCCTGTGACTTATACTCCCTTCTGAAGGTTTCAAAGCATATTTGGGATGTTTTCTTCCTTTTATCAGAATCCATTCAACCAAATCTTATATATTCACTAGACTAACCAACTCTGTAAAGCTTGAAGCTTTAGAAATAAGTCAGAAACACTACAGAATGGTGTCCTACCTTCCATTTTTTAGAACAGTGCTATGTCACAGAACTTTTGGCAATAATGGAAATGCTCTGTATCTGCAGTGTCCAATATGGAAACCACTAGCTGTATGTATTTACTGAAAAACTGAAATGTGAGCCACATGACTGAGAAACTGAATTTTTTATACAAGTCAAATTGAATGGTCACATATGGCTAAGAGATCAGAATGCACTGGACAGTGTATTCTAGAAAGTTCCTTGAGATCTCCAAAAATTCTATTATCCACCTCAGAATAATTCTCTAACACCTAGAATCCAAAAAAGGAGATGAATTCTCCCCTCTGTACAAGTTTTCTTGGATCTTTAACCAATATAAACACAATATATTAACCAATATTCTTTCACAATATATTAGAATGGATAGAAATAAAAAATATAGGACACTTTAAAAAGTTCTTATGAGGCATAAAAATCATTGCTTAGAACTTAAAAATAAATTATACTAGAAAAAATACTTTTCTATAGAGAAAAGTATGACTAATGTACAAATTAAGAATATAGAAAAATGTTTATTTTTAAAGCTTATTAAGGATGTTCAAACAGGATGAAAACTGAACACAAAATGTTCATATGTTCTCAGTTCAAAAACCTCAACTGGATACCACTTAGAATTTGAAAACAAATCAACTACTACAAATGAGTTAGAAAGGAGCTATTAGTGAAAACTAAAATTGGAGATTTCATAAAATTCTAGGTGATAAAACATACGGAAGACTCAAGTGGAGGAAGTTATAGTAAACATTTACAGAAGGGGAAATAGACAAAGAGCAGTTTGCCCCACTGAGACAAGAAGGGGCTCAGGACTCACAAATGCAAGGAAAGTAGAAGCCACTATTTAAGAGTAAGACTGAAAACTTGGAGACAAACTCAAGGTCCATAAAAGATTGGTAATCTCACAGAATCACTACAGTTAGGGGAGCAGATGTAGGAATTAAATAGCCCAGAGGAATGACCTCCCCCAAATCTTTCCTGTCATTTGAGTCTTTCACACACAGTATAAACAGTCATACAGCATACCTTGTAGCATTAAAATTCATATGGGGAAAACAGGTCTAAATCTGATCCTTCAGAAAGCAATAATGAGAAAAGATTGAGAACAATACTCTAAAAGTCTCCAGTCAGAAGAAGTCTGCTATTCAGAGAACTCCTAGCTTACTATTCAGCATCTCATTCTCAATTATGAATGGGAACCAAGTAACAGTGATATTTAAAGATAGCCTCCAAGGCAAAAGATGCAGAAATAGAAAGAAAACACATACTCTCAACATACAAAATGACTCCAGAGACAACAGAAATAATACACAAAACAGAAGAGAATTTTTAAATAAAACTAATGTATACTCTGAAAGAATAGTACAGAGGATACATTTTTAAAGATTATCTGAAAATAAGAAAGCATAAAACATTTGCTAAAACAAAAAAGGGATAAAAAATAATAATATATTCAAAAATATGAAAGGAGGCATACAAGATCAATCCAGGAATACTAGTTTCTAACAAAAAGGATTCCAGAGAGAAAAAAATAGAAGAAAGTAAGTTATCAAAGAAAGTAAAAAAAAAAATTATCAGAGCTGAAGGATAAGGCAGGACTACAACTGTGCTGAGAGGATAAAGGACTAAGAATGTTTCTGGTACAGAGAATGGAATATTATTCAGCCATAGAAAGGATGAAAGTGGAGATAGATATGTTACATGAACTAAGCCAGAAAGACAAGAATCACATTATCTCACAGTCACATGTGGAATCTAAAAAACAACTAATATCATAAAAGTTGACAGTAGAACAGTGGTTACTGGAGGCTGGGGACACTAGATGAGGAAGTAGAGAAAGCTTAATCAATGGGTTCTAAGTTGTAGTTAGACAGGAGGAGTAAGTTCTGTGCTATTGCACAGTATGGTTACTGTAGATAGTAACAATGGACTGTATTTAAATTTTTTTAAAAATATTTTTGAGATGGGGGTCTCATTAGGTTACGGAGACTGACCTTGACTCTTGGGCTTAAGTCATTTTCCTGCTCAGCCTCCCAAGTAGCTGGGATTAAAGATATGCACCACTGAACCATGGTGCTCTGTGTGTGTGTGTGTGTATAACTGGAAGAAAGGATTTTGAATGTTTTTACCACAAAGAAAAAAGTATTTGAGGAAAAAGATGCATCAAAACATCACATTACTCCATAAATATGCATAATTTTATGTTTATTAGCTGAAAATAAATTTAAATTTAAAACCATAAACATAAGAGAAAGGGAATGTTTCTGGGAAGTAAGAAAGGTAGATGTGAGAGGTAAGAAAGGGTTCAATTATTTATCATTATTAGATCTTTCAGAATTTATTTTTTGTCTCTTAATCATGTGCATGAGTTTTATTTTTTTTAAAAAAAACTATGAATAAATGAATAAGCTGATCACTTCAAAATTTTCCATGAGTTTCTTCAGCATATTAAAGGCTATTATAAATCTATGGCCAGAACCAGGCCACTAGCATTGGTGTAATGGTTTGCTGAGAACCTTTTCAAAAATGTACGTGGGAAGAATTATTACCTCCAAGCAGTTTTTGCTTATGCAAAATTTTTCAAATCAAAAAAGAAAAAATACTTAAAACTCAATTCTAGAATGTTTTTTCTACATTCCCCCTAACCATTGAGGTTACTAAGTAGAAAAGCAGGGTTTATTAAACTTAATGTTTTTTATTCTAAAAATTATGATGAATAAAACACAAATTTTCACTTTCTTAATAACTGAATCTAACAGCTATTGTTATATAATACCCAAAAAGCAACATTTTCAATTTAAATCTACCAACTGCTGGTCACTTCCACATTTTAAAAAGTTACATATGTAACAACCCCACAGTTTCAACACTGCAATCTGCAGTATCACAAGCTACAACAGGCTCTCATTTCAAAGTATGTTCATTTAAACAAATAATCCAGAAGATCCCTGCCCAAATAAAGGACCATACAGTTGTCAATGAAAAAATATGTAGTTAGGTTTTTCTAAAAGGGACTCCTGGTAATAATGACTTAGGTATAAGGATATACATTTCAAAATTTAGCTACTGTTAATTCATTTTATAGTTAGCTTTTTTTTTTTTGTGGCGGTACTGGGATTTTTAACTCAGGGCCTCATGCTTGCTAGGTAGGTGCTTGACCATTTGAGCCATACTTCAAGCCTGAGTTAGTTTATTATGGGAAAAGTTATTACCCTGCATCTAGACTAATAAAGTTTCATGTGAAATAAAGCATAAAATAGGGCCAATTTAAAGAGAAACTAAATGAAAATGGTACAGATGATAGATTTTGAAAGATTATTAAGGCATGATGTGTATGACTAAAGGGAAAGCACTGCTGTTAGGTCTACCTGCTGTCACTAGTTTTGGGCATTCTGCTAAGTACCTTACATACTGATTTCATCTGTTAGATTATTACTAGATTTAATTTGCATATTCAGATAGAAAACTAGGGGTTGAAAATGCTAATGGACTTGCCCTGTGTCAACAAAGGTACAAATGGCAGAGGCAGGGTTAGACTACAAGTCTGTGCCAGATTGCAGCCTGAGTTCTCACCCTCTGTGCAGTACTAAAGAAATATAAGAGAATGAAGTAGACTTGAAACAAATCTCTTCAAAGGAGACACACATCAGTCACTTAGTGTGAAGCTCAACTCAAGTTCACCTGTAGGATGATTGCTTGCCATGTAGTTACAGGTTAGTTACAGCAGTTGGTGGGACCCCAGGCACAATCTATGTTGAGCCAGAAAACACTGGCAGAAGACTAGTAAGTCTAGAAAAAGATCAAGCAACAGAGCTAAAAGGAACATCAAATTCGTGTTCCTTATATCCATATATCCCCACATTCTGTGTATCCAAGAACATCTAATTACTAATAGTGGTTACATAACACTTAAACAGTCCCTACACCAAGAAGCTCCAGAGAGGACAAAGTACACATGCTATACAAAGATTTCTTCTGGTCATATTTGCTTATCAAATCATCCATTACTAAAACCCATGCCCTGATGACTCCTAAATGTACTTGAATTCCAAGCACACTTGCAATTCAATAATATAGAAGCCAATGGTCTCACTGAATTACATTCTCCTAAGACCATGGGACAAAGAAATTTAAAGAACTATAATCTCAGCACTTGGAAGGCTGCAGCAGAAGGGTAATAAGTTAAAGGCCTGAACTGGCTACATAGAGAGATGCTGTCTGGCAAAAATGACAGGGAGGCATGGAGGGAGGGATGAAGGGGGCAGGAGGGAGGGAGGAAGGAAGGAAGGGAGAAAGGAAGTTAGTTTAAAGAACTAAATTTTATTAGAAGAAAAACAATTATCTTCCTGGGTATACTGAAACAGCTCTGTATTATGGGAAAGTGGAGAATATGTACCTGAATTCATTTAGGGCATCGACAATTCGATTGTATGCCAAACTCCTCTGACTAGCATCAGCTGATCTCCGGCTCATTTTCATAGCCTTGAAAACAATCATTACATAGTTAATTCTTAAACTAATTATGTTCAAAACATGAGAAAAAAAGAAAGAAAAACAATCACATATATATACAATACTCTACCAACAATCTTATCTAGAAAGAAAGAAATAACTCTGATATACATATTTAAGGTGGTTTTAACAAAATTCAAAAATTTCAACTGTCAAATCTCTTATTGGGCATGAGGCTCACACCTGTAACTACAGTATGAGGGATGCATAGGTAGGAGCATCATGATCCAAGGCCAGGCGAAAAGTGAGAACCTATCTGAAAAAATACCCTAAAGCAAAAAATAAAGAAAAAGGCTGGAGTGTTGCTTAAGTGGTAGAGTGCTTGCCTAGCAAATTCAAAGCCCTGTACTATAATACAAATGCACAAAACACTCTTATGTGAACTGTAAAACTCCAGAATGACAATACAGTTACCACAAAAACCCTACTTTTTCCTGAACATAACACATAATGATAACTCAATAACAATAAGTAATGGTTTTACTTTTATATTTTGCAGATAGCACTTCTGTTAACACTTCTTGAAAAATCTGGAATAAAAATTCGGCTGACAGACATTTCAAGGTGTTAGTAGCATTGGTTTCTTTCTTTCTGTTTTTGCAGTTCTGAGGATTGAACCCAGGCCTTATGCATGACAGGCAAGTGCTTTGCCACTGAGCTACATTCCCAGCCCAGTATTTGCTTTCTTAAAAACGTATTTAGCTAAAGTTGACAAAAGGTAGGTAGACAAAAGGTGGAGCAAGATGAGGATTCTGTTACTTTTTCAAAGATAATTTTGTGCTTGTCATGTATTTAAAAATTGATTAAATTTGCTCTAAAAAACATTTTTAACAGAAGGCTAGATTACTTCAGAGAACAAGCTTCACAAGATGAAAGTGAAACTTCGTTTTTTTTTTTCAGTATTAGGAGTCTTGCAATTTTTAAAGAAGTGAATATTCTTTTGACAGAATTCAGTGTTCTTTAATCAGCAATATTTTAAAATTACATCATAAATCTCAAAAAGAAAGAGGCTTTAAAATAATTGCAAGATACTTAGGAACAAAATTCATAGCTTTTATTAAAGAAGAAAAGTGGCTAGGCATGGTGGCTCACATCTATAATCCTAGCTACTCAGAAGGTGGACATCAGGAGGAACTCAGTTCAAGACAAGCCTGGGGAAAAAGTTCAAAAGACTTCATCTCAATCAACAGCTGGATGTGGTGGTACATTCCTACCATCCCAGCTACCCAGGAAGCATAAATAGGAAGATAACAGTTCAGGGTGGTCTATGCATAAATATGAGGTGCTATTTGAAAAACACCTACAGCAAAAAGGCTGGGGGCATAGTGGCTCAAGTTGTAGAATACCTGCCTGGCAAGCACAAGGCCCTGACTTCAAACTCTAGGACTGCCAAAAAAAAAGAGAAAGTGATTTTTGCAACCAAACTTAAAGAGATAACTTGTTTGGATAGTCTAGTGTTTACTAAATTCTACCATTAACTAACTATTATAGAACTTTTAATATTAAATTTCATTCATTTGTAAAAAAGCATTCAGTTTTATCTTTCAGCTCTAACTTAAAAGTGGGATATTAAACTGGGAATCTTCTAATGAGAGACTACAAGAACCTACGACACAACTATCCAGACAACTGTTAAGTATTAACAATGTACATTTTATATTATAGAATGGTCAAAGTACTAAAACATGAAAACACTTAAAAAAGTAATGTTTAATGAGTTCTATAAAGTGCCTGTCAAGTTTTATACAAGGCTTAAAGTAACTCCCCAAGTAACTCAAAATGTTTCCAACACAAGGATTATTTTAGTGTGTGGTGATAAAAATCCATATTATGGGACAGCAGCCAACTAAAGAAAACATAGCCCATGTCCCCTGAAGAAATAAACACGGTGGGGTGTTGGAGTGGCTCAAGTGGTAAGAGTGCCTGCCTAGCAAGTTTGAGACCCTGAGTTCAAACCTCAGTGAAAAAAAGAAATAAACATGGTCTTTACTTATTTGTTCAGTAAAACAGTACTGCTAACAATCTATTTGCTTTTTGATAGAAATAACTGATCCTTAGTCACTACTGAGTTACTCAGATGCGTCCTCAGCCACTCCTATTCTAGTCTTGTATAAAAAATGATAGGGGAAATTCACTAAGAGGTTAACTATAGCCACAACAATAGCTGTGAAAGGTACAAATGGCCTAATAAGAAAATTTTTAGTTATACTGAGAAAATCCACTAAGTATACTTAAGAATAATTTATATATAAGTGAAGATTTACTTGTATATAACATATACATTTGTCATGTGATGAGTCTTTTTTAAATGGACACATAATTTTAAAAATATGGACACAGTTCACCAAGTAAAAGTACAATATGCATGGAAAAGGCCTGACCTGAAAAAAAATTTCAGCACAATGTTAGAGTTCCCTTTGGGAACACCTTCCATATATCTATGTTATTTTATCAGTAAGCTACTTTGGGTGCCAAGTATATAAATTTTCTTTCTATTCTGCTATATCCAATTTTCAAAGCCTTATGTTTAAAGCTTTCAAGATACAGTCCAAAAGAAAGTCAGTTTTCTTTTCTCTGAACTCCTAAAAATTTTGCTTATTTTTTTTTAAGCTATCCTTAGGTTCTATCTTGTATTTCAAAATTTTCATATTTTACATATTTGTATGATATACACAATCAGCAGCATTAGACACAATCAGTCACTTTCTCCTTCTTGAAACACTTTCTTGCTCTAAAAAAAAAAAAGAGTCCTGGTTTTACCTCCAAAGTGAATGGCCAATCCTTTCCCATCTCCTCCTGCTTGCTCCCTCTCATCTCCACAAATCCTAACTGCTGAAATGCTCGACAACTTAAGCCTATGATTTCCTCTCTTCTCTCTGTTTCATTCCTTTAAATATCACTTCCCCCCTAAACACTAGAACCATAAAAATATGTGGATGCCCACGAGGAAACTCAAAAAACACTCCTAATCTTCTCTTTTGGTTGTGGCACTGGGGTTTGAACACAGGGCCTCCTGCTTGCTAGGCAGGAGCTCTACTACTTGAGCCACTCTGCCAGCAACACTCCTAATCTTCTCTATCAAACCTGTTCTAGCTGCATCCTTCCCACTTTAGTACCAGTGAAAAAAATCTTACTAGAGTCAATCTCAACCATTCTGTCTCATATACCCAAATTTCAGTTAATGCTAATAGCTGTTTTCAAAATACATCACAATTCCATCACCAAATTAATTTGAGTATTAATCATTTTTTTCCTAGATTTTTAAAACAGCCACCTTAACTAGTGCCACAACATCTGCCATTGTTCCTAGAAATCTATCCTTTAACAGCAGTAAAAATTATACCTTGTAATTTCACTTCTCCACTCCAATGGTTTTCCATACTTCTTAAGAGTAAAATGTCAATCTCTTACAATGATACTCTGTAACACATTTTATACGTGTGTGTGTGTGTGTGTGTGTGTGTGCGTGTGTGTGTGTGTGTAACACACATATGTATAATGATACAATGGTATTCATAGTCTAGTCTGACTTTGCCCCAGCCATTTTGGCCTCCTTAGTGTTGCTTAAGCAAAGGACTTACTCTTGTCAAAGGGCCTCTGCCTCTGCCTCAAGCATCTGCTACCAGCAACTGTAGCTCACATTCTCCATATATCTTAACTTCTTTTGTCAATGGCCTTCTTGACTGGACTATAAAAATCAGTAAACTTTTCTTTCAGCATTCTTTATATATAACTTTGCTTCACTTTTCTTTAGCACACTTAGTTCCATCTAAAATAATGTACATTCATTTGTCTATTTGCTATACCATGAGGGCAGGAGTATTGTTTTTTACATATCTTCTCTTCAGTTGCTAGAATAGTTCTGCTACATTATAGGCCCTCAACAATTTAGCTCCTGAATGAATGAATGCTCTCATATCCTTTTTAGAAGGTTAATTCAAGTACCTTTAAAAAGGGTGAATGTAATATTTGCATCTCCCAGAACATTTCTGTAAGGCAATCATACAACTTGGTGTGATAATTTTTTGCCAAATGAGTAACACAATATTTAATTAGTAGAATAAAATTCAAAGGAAAAGAAAAATAGGTGTCTTATATAAATAACAACACTTACCTGTTCTATTGCACTCTTTAATTTGTTCATATGGCTTTCAAAGAGAGGAAAATGTGAAAAAAAGAATTCATTAAATTTGTTATTTTCATCTTCATCTTTGGATAATGAAAAGATTACCCCAATTGCAATCTTCTTTTTCCTCACAATTCCTGGGTTAGGGCCACAGCTTTCATCTGACAGATTAAAGCTTTCTTCAATAGACCTTAAAAATAAATGTGTCTTGTTAAAAACAAAAAGTACTTAAATTTGCAGTTCAATATTCATATTAATTAGATGTAGGTATGCTAAAGGTCTTTTGCTGTTTTAGCAAATAAATGTAAATTTTGTATCAATTGTATATATCTTTAAGAAATCTACTAGCTATTCTTTCATGCTCATGTTTTTATAAGAAAGTTTTCTAGAGGGTCATATTAAGAATATCTGTGTCCAGTTAGAAGTCATTAAAGAAGCAGGTAATCCTAATTCATAGCCAAGCTAAACATGTCTGAATTTTAGGCTTTTAGGTAAGTTTGGCATAATCTACTCACTGTTCCAGGATCCACTCATCTTTTGATTATAAGAATAAAGTCAAAGATGAAGGAATGAGGAAATGAGAAGTTTCATTAGCTACTTAACACAGACTAAAAAAGATCTTTTGAAAATAACTTGCCAAAATAAAAATATAAAAAACTAAAAATATCAAAACTCATGGCATATGAATGAAAGATCTAAACATAAAACTGGAAGGAAACAAGTGGGGGGGGGACAGGATTTGACAATAATGAATTTGGAAATGGCTTGCTTCTTCGATGTAAAGAAAAGGCACAAGTAGCAAAAAAAGCTAACCTGGACTACATAAAATTAAAACCTTTGTGCATCAAAGAATACCACTGACAAAAGGAAAAGACAATCCAGAGAATGGGAGAAAATATTTGCAAATCACTATCTGGTAAGATATTAGTACCCAAAGTAAATGAAAGAACTCTCACAACTTAACAAAACACACCTGATTAAAACCATGGGCAAAAGACTTAAAGACATTTCTCCAAACATGTGCAAATTTCCAACAACACTTCAAAAAAGTGCTCAACATCATTAATCATTAATAAAATGCAAACCAGAACTATAATGAGAAACCACTTCACATCCAATTAGGATGGTTATTATAAAACAGTGGTGGGAGGGACTAGAGGCATACATAGATCAAGTAGTTGAGTGCCTGCCTAGCAAGTGCAAAGCTGAGTTCAAACTCCAGTAATCTCCTTGTCCTGTTTCCCTCCCCCAACACACACCCGCAAAAAAAGAGAGAGAGAGGCTGGGAGTGTAGCCCACTTGTACAGCGCTTGTCTAGCATGCTCAAGGCCATAGGTTTGATCCTCAGGACCACAAAAAAAACAACAGAAAGTAACATGTGCTGATGAGAATGTGGAGAAATTAGAACCTTATTACATTGCTGGTAGGAATGCAAAATCATGCAGCCACTATAGAAAGCAATGTGGGAATTTCTCAAAAACTTAAAATGCAATGTTATTTAGTCATAAAAAGGAATGAATTTCTGACATATGCTACAACATGAATGAGCCTTGAAGATACAAGTAGTGTATGATTACATTTACCTAAGGTCCCTAGAACAGTCAAACTCAAAAGATAAAAAAAAAAAAAAAATAGAAGTGGGTGCAAGAAGGCAGGGGGAGGTGGGATAGGAAGTTATTATTTAATGGCCACTAGTTTCAGTTTGGGAAGATGAACAAGTTCAGGAGTTAAGATAGTGATGATGGTGTGGGCATACTTAGTGCCACTGAATTGTATATATAAGAATTATTAAAATCATGTAATGTTTTAGGTAACTAACCACAATTTTAAAATGATACAATTTTAAAAGTTTTCAAATACACAAAATACAAGTCCAGGCTCTTAAAATCCCAACTAACCTTGTACTTAAGGAACTATTTAATCTTGATCAAATTTCAACCTACCATCTAGGAAAGACCCCATTTTCCAAGCTTGTAGTTTGGCTACGTCGCCAACGTCGCTGGTAGCTACTGGCACAACTTCGGGTAAGTGAGGAGTTTGGGGAGGGAAATGGGGTGATAAGCAAGCTGCTGAGAGATGCTGTAAGTCAAAAGAAAAAGTATGAGTATGTTATGATGAAGCAGAATGACAAATGTCTTTTCAACAAATTTCAGAGAAGTGTGACTCAAATTTTTCATTTTATTTTGTGTCTCCTCTTAATTTTCCACTTAAAGCAAGGTCTCAGAAGAAAAAAGGTGACATAACAACAGTGTATTAGCAAGAGACTGAGACAATCTCCCCTTACACATACACACCCCCAGAAGAAAATGTGACTTTGCAACAGGTTATTACCTCTTCAGCCACCACAATGTCTCCTCCTTTCATTGAGCCCTTATAGACCTTAAATGAAAGGAAACCTAATACAATTCAAACTTAATGTACCAATGGATTTTAAGAACAAAAACTCCATTTGAAAGCAAGTGTTTGATGGCATTAAAAGAAATCATTTACATTACTCATGGATCACTTACAAGGTGATCACTTTTAGTAAAACTAATAACTATACCTACCAGCTGCTTACAGAGTGCTTTCTGGAGCATTCTAAGGTAACAGACACATTTTAGCAGTCTCCACTAGGCTGGCACTATACCACATGAGCCACTCCACCAGCCCTGTTAATTATACCTGCTGCAATGCCCTAACTACAGGGATTATTCTCTTTCCAAATCCCTTCTCTAAACTCTCCAAGATTAGTTTCTTGCCTAAGGTACTGAGAGCTACAACCCTTTATTTTAACTTGGGTTACAGATCTTCACCTTCTCCCCAAGAGATATAAGCTGTGCCATTAATAGTTTTTTTTTGTTTGGAATTATTTTAGATTTTCATCTTCATAATTGTAACTGCATGTTGAAAATTTATAATCAAAACATAGAATTATTACATCATCTATAAAAAGGTATATGCCAGGTGACAAATTATTTTGAATAATATGAGACGATGTTATTAGGAAGATCTATTCATTGGAATTTTGACAAATTCACAGATAGAGGATAAAATTTTATGTGTCACACAAACAAATAGACCACCAATGAATTTGTTCTATAACTTCTCTCTTGAAAAAGACCGCATTTTTTTTTTTCAGTAAGTATTGTAAAACTTTGTAGTCTAAGACTGGGGATGGACAAGCATCAGGGTATGGCTTCAAAGAAAAATAAAATGCTACTCTAAATTTAGAAAAAAAATTTTTATTATATTCTAGTATTAAAAATAACCCTATTAGAAGACAACAAAATTAACTTATGTGAATTTTATTACTTAAAGCAGGCTTCCAGGTATTTGTAGCTAGGTCCTTCAATTTACACATGAAGAAAATACAGAGAAATTACATGCAGAAGACTAGATGGCAAAATATGTATCTCTTTCTATACATACAGGTGGGACTGAAGTTTGAACTCAGGGCTCCTCTCTTGCAAAGCAGGCACTCTACTGCTTGAACCACACCTCCAGTCCATTTTGTTCTGGTTATTTTGGAGATGGGGGGGAGGTCTCACAAACTATTTCTGGGGCTGGCCTTGAACTGTGATCCTCCCCAACTCAGCTTCCCAAATAGCTAGGATTACAGGTACTAGCCACCAGCACCTGGCTTCTCCAGATTCTTACAATCTGAATTAGAAAAGAAGGGTGAGGTTACTTAAAAGATGCAGACTCTTCCTAGTGGTGCTCAACCCTAGCTGTCCATTAGAATTAGGTGTTGAGTTTTTCATTTTGTTTTACTTCTCAAATACAGAAGCCTAAGCCTTTCTCTAGGCTAAATCAGTCTTTGGGAGAAGAATTCAAGCATCTGAAAAACTTTTTTTTTCTTTTTTTAATTTCTCCATGTTATTCTAAACCTATGGATTATAATACATGGTAAAGTTATACTTACCATTTATACTTAAATTTGGATGAATCATAGTCAATTTAGATAGCAGAGTCTACAATATGACAATGCATTGGATAACCATGTTTATAATGCCCTTGTCTAATGCTTTTGCTTGAGTAACTCCTATTTATTTCTTATGACACAATTCAAGCACTACATCTCTGTAAAGCATTGCTGGTACACTGCCCCTTTCCCAGGCTAAGGTGCCATTTCTCTGAACTTCTTGGCATGGGTATATCACTGAATAGATCATACAATGTACTATGACAAAAGGTTTTCCTCTTCTCCCAGTAGACTGTCTGCTTCTATGCTCCTTAAGAACAGAATCTGTTTTGTTTTTTAATACTCAGCATGTCTCAGTAAATGTTTACTAGACAAACAGATTTTGGTAGAGTCCACACTTGAAAGAAATATATGTAACATTGGTTCATAATTCCTAAGCTTTTCTGGGTAAGAAATAATCTGACAATTTAAAGTGTAGATTTCTCTCCAACTGTTTCTACAATACACTTGTATGGCAAGTATCAAAATGAACAAATCATGCACACAGAATTAGATGATAAGGAGGGATTAAAAACAATGCATTAACAGTGATTTCATAAAAACTTGGATTAATTTGTGAGCCTGACATTACCAGAGCGTGCTATGCCACTGTCTCTGTCTTCATTCAGCTCTCTTCCAGGCATGTCCATTGGGTTGCTGTGAACTGTAAATCAAGACAAAACTGTCAGTTATAAAATATATTCTTATTCAAGTAGATTTTGCTCCTTTTCAATTGCAAACTAAATCATGCTCATCTCATTGCATTCCTTTATTTTTTTTCAACAGCATGGCATCACAACCCAACACCAAGAGCTATTACTCAGATGAACAAGCTTTAAGATCTACTAAGATCTGATATACAACATGAAAATAATCTATGATATAGTATCTAAAAAAGTCAAGGGTGACTAAAATTTATATTTTAGAATCATATTCAATAACACAGAAAGATGTTCACAATATACTATTAAAAGAAAAAAGCAAGATATGAAACATGTATGTCAGTTGCTGGAGCTAAATGATGAGCATGTCATGGTCATTCTACTAATTCTGCTTCTATCAATGTTTACATAGAAGCAGAATAAATAAGAACAAAGCTTTTTTTTACAATAACATGCTTTAGAAATTTGGTTAAATAGTATGATACCAATTTTGTTTTAAAAAAGAGAGGGGGAGGGCCAGATATGTAGCATATGGCTATATTCCCAGCAACTCTGGAGGTAAAGACAGGACGACTGTGGTTTGAGGCCAACTCAGGCAAAAGTTAGTATGAGACTCTACCTGATAAACTAAAAGCAAAAGAACCAGGGCGTGGCCTTGCAAGCACAAGGGCCTGAATTCAATCCCCAGTACTGCAAAAAAAAAAAAAAAAAAAGAAAAGAGATTGAGGGGTATATATTCATTCCAAATTTTCTATGGTAAATATGTATTGTTCATATATAATATTTACAGGGAAATAAATATTAATTGAAACAAGAAGTGGGCAGGTATGGTAGTGTAAAACTTGGGAGGCTGAGGAGGGAGGATCTCAGGTTTGAGGCCAGCTGGGCTATATAGGGAGACCCCATTGCAAAAAAACCTAAAACCAAGAAGGCCAAAATTGATAATAATCTAAGAGCAATGGTGATTTATGTTCACATTATGATCATTTCCATCAGAAGATTATCATGATAGTTAGTATGTGTGAAAGCTATGAAAATGTGGACTAGAACTAGCGTCCTGGATTTATAAGCACATGAACACACATTTTTTAAAAATCAATTTCAATGATAAAAACAATTAAAGATATCTTTCACAGATAAAGTACTATAATAGTGCTTGTTCATCTAAATCTTAGCTCCAAGAAAAATCATTCTTATGATATAGTGAAGATCAGAAATTTTATAATAATTATATGATGGGGTATTTTCTGCAACTGGTGAACTACAGTACAAAAGCTACTCAGCCATGGAAACAAGAAAGTATCACATTAAAAATTCTAAGTGGTATTATAACTAAATACTAAACTATATACTAAATTTGGGGTAGGATTCTAAAGTTAAAATCATTACAACATAATTAGGAAAGAAATAATAAATGAAATTTCATAAAATTGTCAAGTCTCCTGATAACTCAGTTTGTGGAAACTTTAGGAACATATCCAGTAGAAAGGAATTAAGTTCCTACACTTTGTAAGTAATATATATTTTTTTAACAACCTCCCCAACTGCATTCTTCTTCTCTCTTATTTCCACAGCTTAAGTACAGACTCTAGCCACTAGGGCACACCAACTAGTCTACCCACACAGCACACTGGCAAACCTGCAAAGAAAGAGGCGCTCCTGATCAGGCGGAGCGGACCCTGCTCAGAGAATGCCCGCCTGGGGCTGCAGAACTGTGAAAGACCTACACAGCAAAAACGTAAAATACACATGAAAGAAGGCTGTTAGAGAAGCCACAATGCGTCAGGGAGAAAAGGTGAGGTAAGGAAGCACAAGAGCAGACCAACAGATATGGATGGCAACTTTTAACCTAAGTAGGAATAATTAAAGTTGGTTTCACTTTTTGGAAAAGGATGGTTCCCCTTTTGGTCATGTTATGTCAAACTACAATTTCATGCTATTTATAAGTAAATCCCTTTTTAATAACAGAAATATACTTCTGCTCTATAATGTAAAATTATTTTAAATGCCTACTCCTTTCTAATATAAAACAATGTTTCTAACCATTTCAAAGGCATAGCAATATTATCTACTAATTTGGCATTTGCTGAAGAAATTTCCTTTAAAAAGTCAGTTTTAACATTACAGTATTCTCCTGAAACTGCCGTAAGGAGAACACCATCATATTGCACTTAGCACAAGAACAAGGAACAAATACAACAAGGGATCTTCCTGAGAAATAATAAGGGTGAAAATTGTTTTTTCTAAGTGATAAGCTACAAAGTAATGGAAGAAACCAATGTTTGTAGAGTAGGAGCCAGACACTATGAAAGTAGGAAGCATAGTGTGGTCTATCAGGACAAGACTCCCAAGTGCCCAGAAAAAGTAGCTGCTACATATTTGACCAAAAGGAGGTAACAGCAGTCTGAAGACCCAAAATGGGCAGGATAGCCTGAAAGCAAGCAACTGGGTAACCTGTTAGTTATGTTTAATCTAAATTGTCTAAATAGCCATGTAGGAGTTTTACACATAGGACAGACCAGGTAGTTTTCTGTTTTAAAAAGTAACAAATACATTTTTCAAATTGCTAATAGATATTCTTTCTATAACAAGAATTTCTACAATTACACATCATTTGTAGCAATCCTTCCATGTCTCAATGGTCAACTCTTTCTTCAATTCCTACCTTATTTTACATACCTATTTCAAAATTTGACTTCTTTAAATTCCTTCCTTACTCATCTTTTTCTTTTCTCTTAGCATATGACTGTTTCCTACAGCACAGGCATTGATGTGGGCACAAGCAGAAGAATTCCCAGTTTCGAACCCTCCTTTTTCTACCATCCTACCTCTAAAGTTACTCAAACTGTCACCCACCACTGCCATCTCTCTGCATAAGAAGTAACAACAGATAATATTATTCAAACCTTATAACGCACTAGGGACTTACTCAGTAAATATTCCTGAGCGGTCCCTCCCTACTTTCCAATGCTAATTCTAAGTCAGTTAGAATGCCAACCCATCCTACACCTTCAAAACTCTCCCTCTGCCAATTATATCTATCTTTAATTTTATCTTCCTTATAACATCTTTTTTCCATCAACATTTAAACAGAGACAAAACTCTTCTACCTTCCACCATCTATCTAATTCTATAGTTCAGCAGTTCTCAATATGTGGTCCAAGGACATCTAGGGTCCCTGAGACCCTTTTAGGAAGTCTGGGTACTCCTCCATCTTCCAACGACTTATCTATGGGAAGCAGGATTTTCTTTGACACATTTCAACAGCACTTGCTTACCTTAAATCCATTCTCACTGCAGTGAGAATATGTTTTACACATATAAATCTGACCAGATTCTGTTGTATTCTGAAAAGCCCTTTGTGGTAGCCTTGAGAATATACCTCAAAGATCTCTGCAATTGTAAGGAGTATAACTGACCAAGAACTCCAGTTACTGTTTTCTGAAATCCATCACTACATTTGCACAAGGCTAGTGCATACCCATAAAGTGTTCCCAGTCAATGACTAAACACAACATGTATACTAAGCCAGGTCCATTTTGGGAAGACATGGGACATTTCCAACAAGCAACTTTAACTCAAAGACTTCCTAATGGACTTGCCAATTCATTCTTTCTTGGATTGGATTGTATCACAGGCTGTGAGATACTTATATCAAACCTTCCTTCGATCCCCCTCTCCATCACTCAGGGTCAGACATACATCATAATCTATGGCTCTCTTAGCCTTTCCCAACTCCTTCCTCATTTTCTTTCTCAAAGTACTTTCCCCTAACAAAAATCCTATACTGAATCCTGCCATAGCACTTCTTAAAAAAAAACAGGTGGAGGACTCCAACTTTCATGCCCTAACTGGAGGGTATGCATAAAGCATAAATGCAAATCCCTCACATGGCCCACAGTGCCCTTTACAATCTGCTCTTGCTCGATTCATTCTTTTCATTTCCTCCACTCCTCTGTGCTTCACACATACTGACTGATACACAGTGTGTGCTCAGTCATCTCTTGGCCTGAGGTCTGGATCTATACTATTACTTCTTCCCAGAACATTTCTTTCCAAACCATCTAGCCACCTGATTCATTGACTGACTGAAAAGAAAGTAAGAATAACTATCCTGGATTCACAATTGAGCATCTGAGAATGATGGAGGGGATGAATTCAACTATGATATATTATAAGAATTTCTGCGAATGTCACAATGTACCCCAGCACAACGATATGATAATAAAACAATGTAAGAGTACGAGGCACTAATTTTTAGAGCCTGTTTTTTTATTAAATGGATTTTCTTTTCTGTATTAGAACAGAAAGGAGAACTGTATTCAGCCTCCATAAGATAGTATGCCTTCATAAGTAACAACTTAAAAGAATTTATAAGCTATTAAAATGAACAACTTGGTAACACAGTGGCTCACACTTGTAATTCCAGTTACTCTGGAGACACAGATCAGAAGGAATGTGACTCAAGGCCAGCTAGGGCAAAAAGTTAGCAAGACTCCCATCCCAACAAATAAGCTGGGCATAGTGGTTTGTATGTGTAATCCCAGCTGCTGGGGAAGCACGGGTAGAAGGATCACAGTCTGAGGCCAGCCTGGGCAAAAACATGAGACTTTATTTGAAAAATAACCTAATTAAAAAAAAAGGCTGGAGTTGTAGCTCAAGTGGTAGAGTATGAGGCTATAGCAAGCACAAGGCCCTAAATTCAAACCCCAGGACTGCCAAACAAACAAAAAACTTTTAATAAGCCCCTTGAGTTTGAAAACTCAAATTATAAAAAGAAAAGACAGTTGCTTCTTTGACATTCTTAGTTCATTAAAAATCAATGCAGTAACTAATCAAGTTAGTTAAGAAAAATTTCTATTTCTTTATAAAGCAGACACATGTTATAACTTCGTGCTTAGCAAACACTAAGACTGGCTCACAGTAGATAAATGGGCTTCTCATTTGAATAAACATGAATTATAAAAAAATAGCATCTACTGAGCAGAATGTTATACTGCTCAAGCCAGTAAATATCTGTAAAAATTAAGTACAGCCATGCATGGCAATTCACACCTGTAATCCCAGTATTAGGAAGACTATAAGACAGGAGGAACATGAGTTCAAGTCCAGCCTGGGCTACACGACAAGACCAGTCTTTAAAAAAAAAAAAAAGTTCTTACTAAACAAGGAATAAAAAAAATATTCATACTATACTAGCTGCCGTCCACTCTTGAGGCTGCTAGTTCTTTATGCACTGGAGATAAAAGTCAGCAGCAAATTAGTTGAGCTTTCTAGACCAGAAATTTCAGAAATAGTTTATTATTTTAAAATGCTTCCTGTTATGACAACATTAGTTAACTAAAGAACTAAATAAGCTCTTGTTCTAATAAATCTTTCAAGAAGCATCAAGTTTGAATATCTGCTCATATGAATTATAAGTCACAAAAATAAGCATTACTTGATTTTGGTTAGGGAGGAAAGAAGAGATTATTATCAGTCTTCCTTGGGTGAAACAGTTAAAAGAGCTAACAAGAGCTTTCCATATCAATGACAATGCCTTTCAGAGACACATCAAATTTAAAAACAAAACCAAAACATAATGAAATTATATATTCAGCAGTTTTCTTTTCAGATACAAAATACTTGAAATGTATTTAAATGACTTTTCCACTTACAGTATATGAAATTCTTTGGTTTTACAGGAGGTCTGCATGATTAAGAAATAACTTCAAGCCCTTTTTATATTGTTGACATTTTAAAAAATCTGTACAAAGAAACCATTTACCTATATTCCCAAGCAGTCCATTAATAACTGTGTTATTATCAGCCTTTAATGTGTTATTGTCCTGATTGATGAATTCAAGACTATCTTGCAGCCTATGGAGGAAGAAAAAAAATTCCAAGTTCACGTTAAGCTTTTAATGGCAATTCTTTGCACATTCTAATGAAATTTTAAGTGCAAAATCTTTTTTAAGTTTCTTTATTAGTACTATAAACTATAAATGATAACTAGGTAATTATTTAAACAAAAGGTTGGTAAATTGCAGGATGAAGACCAAATCTCTCTGTAAATGAATTTTAGAAAGATTACCATGCCCATTCACTTATGTATTATTTATGGTTGGTTTAATGCTGCAATGGCAGGGACGAGAAACTACTGTGTGGTTCACAAAGTCAAAAATATTTACTAACTGGCCCTTCATAGAAGAAAGTTGCCAACTCTGATTTATATTATAAACAAGGTTCCCTCATATTTTGGACTTAAAAATACTTTCTAACTATCTGGGGCAGGGAAAGGAAAAGGATGAGAAGAGAAAGAGCAGTAGCAGCAACAAATAATCAAAACCTACACACATTAGAAGTGGCCGATATTACTTCAGTTAGTGAATCTTTCAGAAAAATAAAATAATTGCTTTTAGTGCAAAATACCCTTTCTATAAATTTTAGGAATTATCAGAACTTAGAAAAGATGAAGAAACTCAGGTAATGATAGCCAAAATCAGTGATTATTAACTTCTATTTCAGTATTAAACTTTTTAATTAGCATTTTTGGAATCAAGGCTCTATTTTTTTATTTTTAGTGATACTAATGTTTGAACTCAAGTCCCACTTGAGCCATGCCTCCAGCACTCCACAAATAAGCCAGGTGTGGTGGTGCACATCTGTAATCCCAGCTTATTTGTTGAGCTGGGGAGGGGGGGAGGTCTTACTAATTTTTTGTCTGGGCTAGCTCCAAACTGCAATCCTCCTGATCTCTGCCTCCCCAGTAACTGGGATTACAAGTATGAATCACTGCAGTCAGTCTAGGTTGGTTTTTTTTTTAATGTTCACAGTATTTTGAAGAGTATCAGTCCTTTGCTTTTTTCCTGAAAGTAAAAAAGGAAAAGCTACAGATAATAGAAACTGAGATAATAAAACTCAAAACAGAAGTTTTTTGAAGTCATTAAAAATTACTGAGGGCCCAAAGAATTACTCTCTCTACAGTATGTTCCTTGCTGCCTCCAGATTTTCAAACCTTGGGTTCCAGATTTGGTACCACCAGAATCCATCTCTGGGATCTACCATGTAAACATAACCCTATACTTCATTTACTAGGTTCCGGTACATAGCCCATTATCCTGACACTAGGCCTATTCTTGTTTTGAGTGTCACTATGCTAGTCTTGGTGTGCGTAGCTAACCGTGCCCCTGTAGTTGTTATTAAATACTATACACACTATGTATAATACAATATGCATACTTTTTGACTTAGGCCACTCCTGTCTGCAGGGTTAATTCTTCAGGGGATCTTAAAACTACGAGCAGAACCCTACAAACATAAACTCAGCACAGAATGCAAAACAGAAAATCAGCTTGTTAACCTAACACGGAACTGCATGCAACAGTTTTGTTTCCAGACATACACTACAGCAGATTATAGAAACAGAAGCCACATCTGTTTCTCAACTAAACTCAAATGAGGATGCAAACTGACTTTCACAAACTTTCAAACTCAGGGAAGAAGGGAAATCTGAATTTGTGCCATGTGTTGTGATGCTCAGCTATAATCCCAGCACTTGGAAGGCTGAGACAGTAGGATCATGCGTGAGAACCCATTTCAAAAGGGAAAAAGAAAAGCAAAGAAAATAAGAATCTGTGGTATAATCCAAAAAGCACTTTTTCATTTTCATATCTTACACAATGTAACTATCCCATTTGCCCCTAAATCCATAGGCACTTACGTATTGAGACTTCCACAGATACTGCTGCCAGTCCGTGCAGTGAAAACTTTGCTGAGCATGAGCTGTGGCGGGGAACTATAAAGAAAAACAAAATGTCAGAGAAAGACCAACACTAAAACACAATGACCTTTTGATTCATTGTAAATAAAAATTCGTAAGAGCCAAAAACTAGCATTAAAACCATAGAATAGCTGAAAATGTGCAATCTGAGTGACGATCATAAGAAATCCTTTCATCTTCAAAAACACAAATATCTAAGAATGGATTCACTTAAAAAATAAGAAAGCCCCTCACCGGATCTGATGAATCTTTAAGGTAGATCCTTTGTAGCTCATTGCTACCGAGCCAAACATCATCTCTCCAAGCATATTGGCGTCAGAAGAGCACTGAGAACCCTGGACAATAACCAGAATATTAGTAACCACAGAATTAAAACCCTTATTATGATTGCAAATACTTTTGTTAAAAAATACTTTGCTATAGGTATGTCACTTTGACTGAATTGAGAAATGACTAAGAGATTAAGGAGGCACTCCCTCTAGGGGTGTCTGTGATGGCATGTGCAATTAGATCATGAGGTCTCTGCCTTAATCAATGGATTAATCCCTTGGTAGATTAATAATGTAATGGTATCACTGAAAATAGAAGATGTAGGTGATGGGGCAGGTGTGGGAGGGAGTCCTTGGGGGCTGTTTCTTGCCCGGGCCTCTTCCTATATCCCTCTCTCTGCCTGTCATGAGATGAAGAAGTTCCTGTGTCACACACCCCTGCTACCATGATGTTCTATCCAAGCACAGAGGGCCAAGTCACTATGCACTGACCCCTAGGAAACCATGAACCAAATTAAACCTTAGTCACAGTAACAAATAGCTAACTCACACAGAAGGGTGAGTTGTATACATTGTACACACTGTTCTACAACTTGGTTTTCTTCATTTTATAATGTCTCGTAAATCTAACCATAATGTTACACAGACATTTAACTCAGTTATTTCAAAAGCTGGGTGTGATGATACACATTGGTAATCAGAGCCCTCAGGAGGCTGACACAGGAAGATCATAAGCTGGAGGCCAGCCTCATAACCAGGAAGGAAGGGAGGGAGAGAGGAATAAAAGAAAACACAGCAAAAGAAAGAAATTTGTTTGAATCACTTTTATCAGAGAGTGATATATTATTTTCAATTGATGTAACTATATAATAAAACAATGAGGAAGATGATTGAACAACTGACAATGATAAATGACAATTGTTCACAATTTTTGCTGAACTGTCCCATCATATTTAAATCAAGAATTAAGAGTTTTCACAAGGGGCACTGCTCAAGTGGTAGAGCACTTGCCTAGTATGTGCAAGGCCCTGGATTCAATCCCTAGTATGAGGATAGGTGGGCTGGGGAAGAATTAGAAGTTTTCTAAAATACTCTGAAAATCTAACGATAACAATAAATCAGTGAGGGTCTCTATTTTATAACTGGAGGCCAAGGAATACACCTGCACCTTACTTTTCTTTACATAGTGTAATTTGTTTTTACTCACACTGTCCTATTTATTGCCTATACTGAATATTCCTCACACTCGGGGTTAAAAAAAAAATCTGTGTATTTCTTTTTCTTTTCTTTAAAACAAATTTATTACATAACTATTTACATTGTTTTTTGTTAAGTTTATTTTTTATATGCCTCCAGCCCTTTTACATGTATTTTGTGTCTGAGATAAGATCTTGCTAACATTTCTTGGGCTGGCATCAAATTTGCAATCTTTCTGTCTCTACTTCCAGAGTAGCTGAGATTATAAACATGCACAACCACACTTGGTCTATTTATATTATTTAAATATATTCATTTATATAATGTTAATCATTTTAAAATAATCTCCGTTATGCCCAGTTCACAAGAAGCAATCCATCTGTTCTTTGTATTTATTTCAGATTAAATTTTTTATTTTAAGGCACAGAGGTTTGGGCACAGAGAATAATTTTAGAAAGAGAATAGAATAATTTTGTTAATTTTCAAGTACTTTTTCTATTTTTCTAAAAATCAAACTTTGTATCCTAAATTACTTCTGCCTTATGGCAGAGATGAAACCTTCCTTCACAAGCTCATTTTTTCTATGATGTGGATAATTCCACTATTATTTTGACTAAAATTACTATTTCTTAAGCAAGGTATATGAATTAAAATGTCAAGGCAGTTTTAGATTTTACTACTATATAAGAAAATAATCCTCAGAAAGTAAAATTCAGCAAAAATAAGTTGCTTTTTAAGTTTCATGGGACTATATAATTTGCTATTAAAGGTTCTCTTTGCCTGATCTTACATATAACAAACAGTTAACATGGATATCATATACCACTGGCAAGTTGTATAATTTTAACACGACATAATCTACAATAAAGGTCATGAAGTTAAGAAAGTGCTATTATCATCGTTGCTTTTTTAAAGCCTTAGAATTCTGATATGAAATGAGATCATAATCACTCACTACCTTCAAGTTCTCTATAATCTTAATCAGTTTACTACTATTTATTTAGCCACAATATAGAAGGGCGATTTTACACAACTAAAAAAATTAGAAAACTTCCCAAATTGTACAAAATAGCATAATTATGCTGGTGCTACATTCATTGGCACTATTAGGAATTTGTTAAGGTATTATGTATGAAGTGAAGAAAAAACAGAGAAAGGTAGAAGTAAAGGAAGACTACCTCCCACCCAGATTTTAGTAATTTCTGAGTCCTTTCCCATGTACAGACTCACTGCATAAAAGTAATCATCTCATTATAAACAATTAAAAAGTCTAACATTGTAGTTTGGTACTACTACATATAAACTAGTTATTATTTATGCAGGCAGATAACAAATTCACATCAGATCACATTTGCTTAGCATGAAACTAAACACTGATCTTATATAAAATGTAGTATATTTTATATAGGCATTCCTATGTAGTTACTGATTTGTTTAATCCTGTATTTTAAAAGAAGAATCACGTTACATTTGAAAAATACTCATTTCTAATTGTGTATACTTCCAATTATACTTTAATTTCATATTATGGCTAAGTTCTATTGGTATTTAATATTGATCTTCATACTTTGGCAATGAAATGGTATCTAAAATAAATTATTCTGGCTGCCCAATAAATGTGAACTGAGAAAAAGGAGAAAATAACCCTTGCTATATCCTTAACTAACTCTGCACTTCTTCTATCTTAATGTTTTCCAAAGTTCATAAACTTGTTTTTTTATAGCTTTACAGCTATAATGTAAGCTCCAAGATGATAAAGACTAATCACAATTATATCCCTGGTCCCTAGGATAATACTTAAAACAATTTGTGAATGAATGAGTAAACAAATGGAAATATGATCTTACCTGGTACTTAGGACACTGGTCTTTCACATCAGAAGACAACGTGATAGAACTATCCAAGGAGGAAGAACTATCTCCTCCAGGCTTCAGTTGGCAGCATTTCCCAAAGACTTTAACTTGAGCATCACTACACAGTTTCTGAAACACAGATGATACTCCCATTCAGGTTTTTCATCATATACAAAACAAACTGCAGTATAAAAACCTTTGAGAAAACCAAGGATGAAAAAAAACAAGGATGAAATAATTCAAAATAACAGCACCTTAATATAATGTCTATCTGCATTTTGCTATATTTTCTTCAGTACTATTTTCTATTCTTTGACTCATAGCTCCAACTACACTTGCACAGTTTGTAGTGCCATTTTTCTCACCTATATTATTATTATTATTTTTAAATTATTCATTTACTCACATGTGCATACATTGTTTGGGTCATTTCTCCCCCCTGCCACCTTCCCCCACCCTTTTTCCCCTTCCCCCACTCACTTCCAGGCAGAACCTGTTCTGCCTTTATCTCTAATTTTGTTGAAGAGAAGACATAAGCATAATAAGGAAGACAAAGCATTTTTGTTAGTTAAGGATAGCTATACAGAAATATTTCTACCATTGCTTTCGTGTACACATGTTACAATCCATGTTGATTCATCTCTAACTGATCTTTACACTGGTTACTGATCCCCCTCTCATGTTATCCTCTGTCGCTTTAAGCTTTCTGTATTAGTTCCTCCGGAGTGGGGACATCAAACGCTTTCATGTTTTGAGTTTTCTACCTATTCCTGTATCTCCCATATGTGCTCTCCCCTTGTCATGTGATCCAAGTCCAACCACACTGCTGCATTTGCCCTAGATCTAAAGTCCACATGTAAGAAGAACAAGCAATTTTGGTCTTCTGAGCTTGGCTAACCTCGCTCATCCATCCATTTACCTGCAAATGATAAGATTTCATTCTTCTTCATGGCTGAGTAAAATTCCATTGTGTACAAGTACCACATTTTCTTGATCCATTCA